AGGGAAAGGTGGCAAGAGTTCAGGGAGGTACACATGCTATAATAAATTAAGCATGTAAAAGTTAAGAATACTAAAGCCAGAAGAAGACAGATAAAGACTCTCATGGTAGGGAACTGGAACTATAAAAATGATGGAATACTGTCACAGAATTTTAAAAGGAAAAAAAAAAGATTATTCTATGCAGCATGAAAGAATRAGTTACACGGGGACAACTCTAAAAGCAACTATACCAGGTGATAGCTGAATATGAAGCAAATTATGACAGTGACAGAGAAATTTGAAAGATTCATGTTTGGATTTTAAAAGTTCCCCAGAGAGTTCATGTTAGGCAATACATCAAGGTTCAGAAGTGAAAAGTGTGTATTACCAGAGTTGTGTTATGGTTTAGATATTAAGTATCCCCTGAAAAGCTCTTGTGTTAGGCAATGCAGGAATGTTCAGTGATAAAATTATTAAGATTATGAGCACTGTAACATCATCAGTGTATTAATCCATTTGATAGATCAATAATTTGAATGAATTACCAGGTGATAACTGCAAGCAGGCAAGGCATGGATGGAGGAAGAAGGTCATTAGGGTGTGGCCTTGGCTCCTATCTTATCCCTGGTTCCTCTTGCTCTCTGCTTCCTGCTCCCTTTCTTCTTCTTACCCCCACCACCCACCACCCCCAGCTTTGCATTGCCATTTGCTGAGCAGCTTCCCTCTGCCATGAACTTCTTCTGTGATGTTCTGCCTCACCTCAGACCCTGAGAAATGGAATCAACTGACCATGGATTGATACCTCTGATGCCAAGAACCTGAATAAACTTTTCCTCCTCCATATTGTTCTTATGAGGTTTTGTCACAGACAAAAAGCTGAGTAACGTGATTCAGAACATATTCAAGAGGCATAATCTTCAAAATGAATCAGATGTAAACTATGGAAAAATAGTAAAAAAGATGATACCCCAGTGCCTGACTTGGGCAACTGCTCAAATATGTCACCATTCACTAAGAAAAAGTGTATCAAGAAAATGAGAAAAGGGGCTGGGGATGTGGCTCAAGTGGTAGCGCGCTCGCCTGGCATGCGTGCGGCCCGGGTTCGATCCTCAGCACCACATACAAACAAAGATGTTGTGTCTGCCGATAACTAAAAAATAAATATTAAAAATTCTCTCTCTCTCTCTCTCTCCCCTCTCTCACTCTCTCTTTAAAAAAAAAAAAACCAGTGGTACATACAGACAATAGAACATTAATCAGAGATATAAAGAAATGAGCTACCCAGACATGAAAAGACTTGGACAAACCCTAAACACATACTACTATGTGAAAGAAGCTATTCTGAGAAGACCATATTCTGTAAAATTCCAACTATCTGATGTTCTAAAAAGTGTAGTCAATGGCTGCCACTGGAGGGAAACAGAAATGAATGAGTAGGAACAGGGGATTTTATGAGCAATGAAAACTATTCTGTATGACTCTACAATGGTAGATACATATCATTATACTATAATATAACAAGAAGAATGAACCCCCACTATGGACTTCAGGTGATAATAATGAGTCAGTGTAGCTTTACTGTATGTAAAAAAAAAAAAAAAAAAAGCAATAATTAGGGAGGCCCACGTATGTGTGGAGTTAGGGAACATATAAGAATTCTTTGTTGAGTTCTTCTGTAACCTAAAACTACCCTAMAACATAGAGGCTATTAAAAAGAAGGAAAGGAATACAAAAAGAAAGTAGAACAAATGTGAAAGAAGAAAACAAGAAATTTTAAACCAAAACACYTAATTTTTGCTTTAATTTTGTTTCTATCAGAACATACTATTATGGGCAGTAAACCTCATAGACACATATCTACACATAAGCACATGAAGAATCCCTGTTCTATTTCTATTTCCTGTGATATTTCCTCCTTGATTATCTATTTCAGTCAACACACACACACACACACACACATACACCCAATGGAGTCAAGCTTTACTTCTGTCTCTAAGAGACTTTGTCTCCAAACTTCTGACCCCTTTTGTGGTTAAAAATTCAACAGATACATCACTAAATGTGAGTTCGAGGATAAAAGAGATTTTGTTTTATTATATTTCCAGTGCTTAGAATAAAGTCTCTAATAWGCACTGAAAGAGTTAATAAATGAACCACTATTTACAAATTGTAAAATCAGAAAGCAATGGAACAGTTGTATAACACTGACTCAAAAATGGACCCAACCAAATACAGAATTCTTTATATAAAGGAACCATTTGAAATCAGTAAAGACAAATTCTTTATTAAATGATATTGGGAGCACTACCTAGATATATGGAAAAAACTAAGCTGGATCTCTTATACCAAAGTAAATTCCAACTAGTCCAAAGACAGAGTTATACAAAAATAACATAACAGTACTAAGAGAAAATATGAGTGACCATTTCTTCATACCTTAGGAGCAAAAAAATTGATGTTATGACTTCACAAGCATGACAGAAAACAAGAAACAGGAAAGAAAATTTTGACAGCTCTAACTAGAAAGTAAAAAAAMGTTTGCTATAAAACTATGTCATGTTATAAATGATGCATAACATTTCTGTCAAGGACAGACTACCTATTATGGTAGTCTTCATAAGATCACTATAAGATTATGGCTTCCATATAACAGAGCTAAAAAATCTCTGTTGCCTAGTGACACTGCAGTTAACGTGATATCACAACACATTTCTCATGTGTTTGTGGTGACAAACCAAATGCACTCCCAATCCTATAAAAGTATAGCACATAAAATTATATACAGTATACATATATACACTATACAGTATACATTATATATAGTACATAATTAAGTATAGTACATATACTCAATAATGATGATAAATGGTTACATTAGTAAATTGATTATGCATTTAACATACTATATTTTATCATACTTTTATCATTAGTTTTTAATCAATATTTTTGTGTACCCCTACTGACAAAAAAAATTTGTTGTAAAACTATGTCATGTTACACAAGAAACAACCTCATCTCATCAAAACAGTGTCACCTAATAGCATCATTTTTTCTCATGCTTAATTATTAAATGTTAATTATGTTATTTTGTTTGTCATGGCCCTAGGAATAACATATACCATATAGCCTAATATGTTATAAGCTATACTATCAAGGTTCATATGAGTAAAACTTTTATGATATTTTCACAACAACAAAATAACCAAAAGACAAATGTTTTAGAATGTCACCATCATTAAGTGACATAATGGTGAATCAAACATTTGGATGGCAAAGATAAACAGTAAAGAAGCTGGAAAAAAATCACAATATAAAAGTATCAACGGGTTTATTATTTCAAGAAATTCTCCATAAAATTAATAAATTATCTTTTTATGAGCAAACTCCATGAACAGATAATTCCAAAAGGAAATGGAAATAAATAAATGAAGACTGAGAATATAATAAAAATTTTTATGGTATTTATCTTTACAAAATTAAAAACTTTAAAAGTAATGTCA